GGATCCTGGAATGAGGCACCTGTGACAGGGAGGGGTGCAAAACCAAGGAGCTGGCCTAGACTCCCAAATATACAAACAAAACCAAGAGGGCTGCACTCACCTAAACATGCATACATTATAGGGTGCTGCTGGGGCCAAAATATACAAAATACAGAATCCAGCGCACTCGCTTATTCACTAAACAATGCTTTCAAAATTTTAGAAATTGTAATAGTTTTATTTAAAAACACCTCACCTAGGCAAAAAATAGTAGTGCAGCCCTCTTGGTTTTGTTTATATATATATATATATATATACATAATTCTACATATATATTTATGTAATATTTTTACATTATTAGGTATCTTAATTAATTACAATTAGAGGGACCTGCCTGACAACCCATGCCGAAAGTAAAGGGAATTTAATTGGCTAGCACTATATTTAACCCTATAACTTTCCAAGACACCATAAAACCTGTACATGGGGGGTACGGTTCTACTCGGGAGACGTCGCTGAACACAAATATTAGTGTTTCAAAACAGTAAAATGTATTACAACGATGATATCGCCAGAAAAAGTGACGCTTTTTGCATTTTTCACGCACAAACAGCACTTACACGGACGATATTATTGCTGTGATACTTTTTACTGTTTTGAAGCACAAATATTTGTGTTCAGCGAAGTCTCCCGAGTACAACAGTACCCCTCATGTACAGGTTTTATGGTGTTTTCAAAAGTTACAGCGTCAAATATAAGGCTTGCGTTTCATTTTTTTCACATTAAAATTCACCAGATTGGTTACGGTGCCTTTGAGACCCTATGGTAGCCCGAGAATGAAAATTACCCCTATGATGGCATACCATTTGCAATAGTAGACAACCCAAGGTATTGCAAACGGGGTTTGTCCAGTCTTTTTTAGTAGCCACTTAGTCACAAACACTGGCCAAAATTGGCGTTTTTTGCATTTTTCACACAAACAAATACTAACGCTAACTTTGGCCAGTGTTTGTGACCAAATCGCTACTAAAAAAAGACTGGACATACCCCATTTGCAATACCCTGGGTTGTCTACTATTGCAAATGGTATGCCATTATGGGTGTAAATTTCATTCCTGGCTACTATAAAGTTCCAAAGGCAACGTAACCAATCTGGCGAATTTCAATTTCAAATGTAACGTGCTATATTTGACCCTGTAACTTCCCAAAACGCCATAAAACCTGTACATAGGGGGTACTGTCTTACACGTGAGACTTTGCTGAATACAAATATGTGTATTTTATTGCAGTAAAAGCAAACAGTATTATGACATTGACAGTTAAAATGTCATGTAGAACTAAATTTTTATTAAAAATTCTTCTTTTCTCCCATTTTTTTCATATTAAATTATGTTTCATAGCTAAATATTTGATATTAAATGAAAGCCCTGTTTCCCCAATATAAAATGATATATAATAAGGATGGGTGCATTTACTATGAAAGAGGTGAATTACGGTTGGACAGACATGTAGCGCAAATGCCAGGTTTTGTTTACATTTTGTTTCCTTCACAACGTGGACATTTGGCTCCGTCCTTAAGGGGTTAAACCTGAAATATAAACATTGCAGTTTCTCTAAAACTGCAGTGTTTTACATTACTGGGTTAAGGGAACAGGGACACCGCAGCCGGACCACTTCAATGAGATGAAGTGGTCTGGGTGCCTATTGTGTCCCTTGAACAATTATCCAGAGTGGTGGTGGTGGTGGTGGTTCTATAGAGACATGCTGCTAAAAGTTGTAGGGTATACTAGATTTTTTTCCCTACCTCAGTATTACCATGTTTTTTATTGGTACAACGTTCACATCTCCATGACGATCTCAATGTGCTTGTAAAATTGATATACAAAATGCATGCAGTGATACAGAATTCAGAGTTTTTAGATCTTTTATATTTAGCATTACAAAGCCTGGAACATCCAGTAAGGATCTGTTGGGAGCTGAGACTACAAATGTTGGTGGCTACATTGCTGATTCACTTTACACCATAACTTATAGAAGATGGGCAGTAGTCATTTTTTCTGCATGTTCTTACTGCTATATATTTTATTGCTAAGACTTTATGATGTCAATTTAATTTACAATTGAGTGTTAGGTGGAGAAAGGTCTTGCAATATTTCTTGATTTTAGTGATCTGTCGATTACACAATTCAGGTGTCTTTAGGCGTTCTGTCCCACTGACCCAGTTTTTAGTAAACGCAGTAAAATGATAAAGAGTATCCATTTACAAAACCGCTCTTAACAAAAGGAGAGAGGAGGAGATGAGTGTGCTAGGGTATCGAGGGAAAAAGACTGTGAAACTGGGTAAAACAGAGTGAAAGAAGAACAATTTAAAGATAAATTCAATAAAAAGCATATTGGATGTATGGTTAGATTTTGGAGACACCTGTCTTTGAGACAGTCAGTATTCCAACAATATAAAAACCACAGAAATGTATATCTAGAACACCCAATAAATAGCATATAAACTCATTAAATGTGTTGCATGTTGTGTGCAAATTTCACACTGTTATAGTATGTATCAGCCGATTGCTTAATGCATTTATACACTCACAAACATATGTGGCATATGTGAATTGCCACTTGCACACATTTGCATAATAGCAGATAATATTTGTTATGCTTTTTTGAATTAGGAGTAGATTTTATATGAGGACATTACATTGATCAGCCACAACATTAAAACCACCTGCCTAATATTGTGTAGGTTTCCCTCTTGCTGCCGAAACAGATCTTATATGTCAAGGCACACCAAGACTTTAGCGGCAGATCAAGTTTCGAGGTGTAGCCTTCATTGATTGGATATGTTGTTCCAGCACATCCCACAGCTCAATCAGATTAAAAACTGGGGAACTTGGAGGCCAAGGCAAAACCTTGAACTCTTTGGCATGTTCCATAAACCATTTCTGAACAAGTTTTGCAGTGTGGCATGGGTGCATTATGCTGCTGAAAGAGGCAACTGCCACCAGGGTGTACTTGGTATGTGGTTTGCAACAATCTCTAGGTAGGTGGTACGTGTCAAAGTAACATCCATATGAATGCCAGGACCCAAGGTTTCCCAGCAGAACATTTCCCAGAGCATACCTTATGCCGGCCTGCATTCTTCCCATAGTGCACCCTGCTGCCATCTCTTCCCCAGGTAAGTAACACACACACAGCCGGCCATTCACCTGATCTAAAAGAAAATGTGATTCATCAGAACAGACATCCTTCTTGGCCCAGTTCTGACGCTCATGTAACTATTGAAGGTTCTTGAACAGGTGACATTGTGGGCACATTGACTGGCGTGCAGCTAGGCAGCCCCGTATGCAGAAAAATTGTGTGTTCTGACACTTTTTTCTATCATGGCCAGCATTAAGTTTTTTAGTAAGTTTGAGTTACAGTGTTTCTTTTGTATGCTTGGACCAGATGGCTAGCCTTTACTCCCAACATGCATCAATGAGCCTTGGGCGCCCATGACCCTGCTGCCAGTTCACCGGTTGTCCATGCATACCGGAAACACCACACAAGACTTGCTGTTCACCTGTCTATGACTTTAATGTTGTAGCTGACCGCTATATTTCATCATACTACTCAACTGCAAGCCAGTTTTATTCACTTTTCTGTCCATTAAGGATATCAATGCCTTTGTAGCTGTGGTTCAAGCACCCCAACCAAGTTGATGTAGCTCCTTGTTTGAGATAGTTTGCCAATCATTTGTGTCCTGAAAAGGAACCAAGAATATCAAACTACAAAAAAATGGGAAGAGGAAAAATGCATGAATCTCTAGATATCTCTTGGATGTGCCCTCTAATTCCTTTTATTCTAAATACACTTGGAGTCCTGGGCAGACTCCTTCCATGAAACACCTCTCCCACAGGTGCCCAACTATAGTAAACTATAGATTTGAGGAGAAGCTCTTGGAGCAGTAAGTTTTACAGCTTGTGGTTCGTCTAGCACATTATGCAATATTATGGTTTTTTGAGACAGGTGATTTTCCGTAATCTTGTTGCATTGGAAACTGTAAATTTTGTGCATATATATGTGCTGTTCCTATAACGTTTATACACTCTACTCACAAGACGCTCTATACGTCTGAAATGGTTGATGATGACGTGGTTTCTAAGGCATTTAAATGAAAGAAGGTAATGAGCACGTTGAGTTATATAAGCTAATAAATTATTGGGGACACAATAGCGCAATAGGCTTAGAAAAAAGCTCTTGTGATAGCTGAAACATTGCTTATTGTGCCCACAATAAAGCTTTAATTTGCATATTATGGTTCGCCTGTTTCTTACTTTCATTCGTGTTTTGTGGGGAGTGTGACTGCTCCAGGCCAAGTAGCACCCTCGTTTTTTACAATGTTTGGTGAATTTGGCATTCATATGGTTCATCAAGGTTTTTGTCAGCTTGCTGAATGGTGGAATACAAAAATGAACACAAAAAATAAACAGAAGTAACAGCAGATTCTGATGTTTTTTGTGAATTGCCAGTCAAAGGACAAAGTTGAGAGAGTGGACAAGAAAGACTGAAAAGGGACAAGTTGAAATCGACAAACTCTTTAAAGTGAAACTATAGTGCAAGTAAAACAAATTTGTGCCCCAGTTCGTCATAATCCCCCTCCCCCCACCGTGGTGCAGGAGGGGTTACAGACTTCTTCTGTCACTTACCTGATTCCAGCGCTGATGTCCCTCGGCGCTGGTTTAGGCTCTGCCTCTGCTTGGACGGCCTCTCTTCCTCTTTCTTTGGGGGTTCCACCTGAGAGCCTGCCTGGTGATGTTGGTTGGCAGTTTGCGTAGGGTATGCTCTATCCAGTCCCATCTTCTCTTCCAGATTTCTGCCTCTGCTGAAAGTTGGCACGTCCGTTCCCATAGGTTGGTGTTACTGATGGTGTCTGGCCAGCGAATGTGGAGAATACTTCTGAGACAGCTGTTGATGAATGTCTGGATTCTTCTGTTGGTGGTTTTGGTTGTCCTCCAGGTTTCAGCCGCGTACAGCAGTACTGACTACACATTGGAGTTGAACAGTCGGAACTTGGTGGTCAAGGTTAGCTCTCTGGAATCCAAAATGTTCTTGAGCTGGATGAAGGGGACTCTTGCTTTGCCGATCCTTGCCTTGACATCTGCATCTGTTCCACCTTGCTGGTCGATGATGTTGCCCAGGTAGGTGAAGAACTGTACTTCCTCCAGGGCACTTGCATTCAGGGTGATTGGGTTGATGTTGCTGAAGTTGGTCTTAAGGATCATGTGGATAGACTCAGCCAGCGATTCCCAGCCCGTGCGGTGTCCAGCACCGCCACCGGCACTGCAACCATTATTTTGCATACCCCCATGGGGCACTGAATTGTACCCCTGGGGGTACGCGTACCACAGGTTGGATATCACTGCTTTAGGGTTTTACATAACCCTGGATGTCCTCATGCATAGCGTAAGGACGTCCAGTGTCAGGCGACCAAAAGCCGCCTAAATACCCGGAAGTCCCTCTAGTGGCTGTCTGGTAACCAAAATTATGCAGGTGTATACGTAGAAAGCTAATCAAATCTCTCAAACAATATGCCAATCTATCCTAGTACTGGCATTGGGGGTGACACTGTTGCAAAACATTTATTCTAAAAAAGGAAACGTAACCAATAGTTACAAAGTAATTTATGACTAGTATTTCACCTGAATTACAGCTATTTACTCCCTACAGAAACTCAAACCAAGGAAGTGATGGGAGGAGGACCTCCGTTTTATATTTTTGGATAAACGTAAAAAAATATATATTTTTAAATTTCTATATATATATTACATATAAAAACATATCAAAGAATATTAAACTATTTTTCAGACTATTAAATAATTTTAACTGTTTATCCAAAAATATTAAATCATTTGAAAAGCTTATCCGAAAATGGTAAATCGAGGCCTAGGATGGAAAATAATGATATAGAAATATACGTAAGAATGCCATGGTCAAATTTTGCACATATACAAGAATATTAACTAAATGGAGAATTGTTGGGAATGCAAAGTGAATTTCAAATTTAAGGCCAAAAAAGCAGAACTGGAAAAATTGTTGACGTCAGCTATGTTTCCACTTCATCTATTTTGGCCTTAAATTGAAAATTCATTTTTATTCCTTACAGTATGAATAATCCTGTAAAATTATTCAAATAAGATGCATATTTACAACTGTAGGTTATCAATAATTATCGAAGTAAATACCAAATGATTGAAGAATTTACGCTAGGTTTGATATCCAATGCTAAATGCAATACACAATAGAAATCGATAGACAAAACATTTATCAAAGTGATGCTTTAAAGCAGGCTTCCCCAAACTCCGGCACTCCAGATGTTGCTGAACTACAACTCCCATGATTCTCAGCCTATCTATTTCATTCCTAGAATCATGGGAGTTGTAGTTCGGCAACATCTGGAGGGCTGGAGTTTGGGGAAGCCTGCTTTAAAGGGACAAAATAAGCACTAGACCCCTTTATCTTAATGGAGTGGTTTTGATGCACAGATCATGAGTAGAGTATCGCTTTAAAATCTGGTAGAATAATAAAAAGATATGAAAGACCCATACTGCCCTCAGTATATCTAAAGTCACACTTCACATCTCCTACATATTTTCAAGGCCCCAACCATTAATAATTATGTGAACCCTCTCAAGCCCTGGCTATAGTAACCATTTCAGTGCTCTAATGGACATTTTGTTTTCACTCCTTGCCTGTACAATGGAGATAGAATAAATAGCTTATCCTTGAATCCCCTTTAATAATGTAATTATTTCTATTCTATAGGGGAAAGGGAAGGACATAATTGACCTATTTCATGACCAGTAGAGTGAAACAGCAATAACTTACTTTGACTTTTATAGTGCGAGGGATTAAGGGACGGCCCCTGGCAAGATAGTCCTAGTTAAAAGTGAGTCCGGGGAAAGTCATTTTGATTATGTTCCCTCGTTTACATTGGGTAGATTAACAAGAGGAAGGGGAAGAACTCTCGTACCTTTGCTGGGATCCACTGCATATTGTTAATCCCTCATCATATTGAGGGCCAATTCCAGTACTCCTTGATTATTAAAGACCCATGGGAACCTCTCTGCATAGTGTATTAATTATTTGTTCAAGGATATTGGCAAATGTAGTGCGTTTGTATTCAAAGATAATACTACATAGTCATAGCGCAGTAAATTAAACTCATACAGTTCTACTCGGTTACTGTAAATGGACCTGGTTACAATATTTATTATTCAATTTAAAAATCATGACTTATCCTTTCATGTAGTACTTTGCCCATGACTGTGACCGTGGCATTTTTCAGTAGCTTTTCAATTCCTGCTATTCCTGGTTTTGTTCATTAACCCCTTGGTTTTGAGTCTAAGGAGTGAGTTTAAACCAATAAAGTTTGTGTTCCATAAATATCCAATAAATTAATTGAACTATGATTTTGAACACACCAGTAATTGTTTATACTTGGCAGAAACGAGGTCTTATAGCCCTATTTCTCACAAATATTTTTATTTTAGTAGAATATTCAGTGTCAGTACCATGGACAGGGGAAATAATGCAGGATACATTGGTTGTATTTGGGGCCAAAAATATAAAAATGAAGGGGTAATTTTTTTTATTTAAAGGAATACACCACGCACCATAACAACTACAATGCCCTGTCGCTCCAGTGTAAGTAGTCAACCTGTTTGACTTTTTACCTGGGGTCTACTGAGCACTGGTCACTTCCTCTTTGGAGGGCCTGTAGTTAAACTCTGCCATGCAGGACCATTTATTGAGAGTGTCAGCTGATTGCTCTCAGCCAATGAGCTAAGCCCTGCACCTACGGGTTTAGGTCAAAGTTTCCACCTCTCATAGAGGAGGTGATAGGCGCCCACAGACCCGAGGTATGATATAAAACCTCAGGGATTACGGTGTTTAGGGTATTCATTTAATCAAAAAATGTTCTGCTGATGAGCCATTAGCAATGTCCGAGGCATCACAATCCCACCGTTCTGATATTTTAACCAGTTAACAAGTGATCCTTAAGGAATCCCAATTGTTTTGGAGAAGAGATATCAATACACTAACAGAACCATTGGACATCTAGTAAATTTAACATAAGAAAGCCTGTTAAATCACAGATAACACTTTTATATTAATTAATTGATTCCCCAAAAGTTTTTTTTTTTGTGATCAGAGTATACACCACAAAAAACCACCCCTGATGTGAAGCTACTTCACCAAACTTATAACAATATTTCCTCATTAATCAATAAAATTTAATATGGACACTCCATAGCAGAGTCCTGTATAAATCTGTTATATTTAGTGATTTTTGGATCCTGCAAAACCATCTACAGCGATCAAACGTAGGGACCAGCATGTCCCATTATGTTTAATATTGAAAGTGTCTTAAAAATGAACAATAAAATTGATATTTACAAAACCAAAAAACAACAAAAAAAATATATATAGCATACTAATAAGTACTAAAACAACAACAAAAATACAGAATTGATAGCACAACAACAAATACACATGTATACATTTTGTTTTCAATTTGAGCATGCTTAACATCAGGCATATCAATGTTTTTTAGTATTGAATCGATCATTGATAAATATGTCACTCTTTATCATCACCATCACACTATGAAAGGGGTTGAACATTCAGGTCACAATATTCAAAAATGGATCCATTCATTTGTCTTTAACCTCACATTTTTCTTGAGTTCTCGTGATTAGCAATGACCACTGTTAAACCTAGTTTTAAGTCAATAATAATTACTAACTTTGGCAGTGTTACCGAAAGAAAAAGGTTGTAATGTTCCTGGACTGTAAACCTATACCAGGTAAAAGTCAGAAATGGTTATTGATCGGATATGGACGTTGGATTGTAATTTACCCCAATGATAGAAATAATCTCCAACACAAGTATAGATTTTTGCTTAACCACTGGATAATCTGTTTTCAATTCTATATAGTATATAGTAAAAAAAAACAACCTCCTGGTGAGTTACATTTCTCTAATTCTAGAATTGTTTTGTACTAACATACAATATCTTCCTGATTTATGTAATATTCCCACTGTAAGGGACACTACATAACATGTATATCCTAAAAGATTATCTGATGACATTTACTCTACACACTAATATTGATAAAAACAGACCAAATCCAGACCTTCAAACAATCTACCACATTGATGTTCTACTACCAAATAAAATGACGATACCAACGTCAGTTTGACTTTTGTAAATTCAGATCAGATTAATTGATCCTAACATTTTCAGTCTTAAATAATAGTAAAATAAATGTTTTTCCGATAAGGATACAGTGATGTTTGTTTTCTAGATTATAAAACATGACATCCAAAGTAGCATTGCTTATTGTCTATTGTTCTCCAACGTGGTCTACAGAACAAAGTCGTAGATGACATAAGCCATTTATTTTGCACAGTGTGTTCCCATGTGCTTTATATTCTGGATAAAAAACACACATTCACCACTTGTCAGGTTAGTACACACACATTAAAAAATAACCATTTTGCCAGGTTAGTGTACAGTGCAATTACCAGGTTAGTGGGTCAGTATCTCTGCTTCTCTCTTTCTCTGAACAGAACTAGGATGACAAAGAGATGGCATTGACGTCACCTGTTATGTGGTGAGCGGGGGTACACAGCAGGAGGGGACAGGATTTTCTATCCATGGATTGTAGATGGAGCAAACTTTCTTTTAACTGCTTAGCTACCAGGATAAACCAAAAAGTTTAGTTTGTGGTTCTGCAATTCACAATCTAACACACCTATAGCATAGATCGATGCAAATGTTATATTCAAAATTCTGGATAAATTAGATACTTACGCCAGTGTTATGTACAGCTGTGAAGCTTGGATTAAGTTGTTAAAATAGTTTAGTCTTCACGATTCTTTTGTGCAATCTCTTTTTATTAAAGAGATATAATGTAAAGATATCGTCAAACAGAAATAGTCTTCATTTAAAGAAAACATATAGAAAAAACAAGACATGCGGAAGCTCGCCATTGCTTTAAGACAAGTCTTGGTCGATACAACTTAAAATGCTGGCTGAGTATATAATGAACATGAAGCTTCAGATATAGATCTAAGAGATTCAAAAGGGAATTCTTCGTAAATTACTCATGTGCCAACTGTGAATAATAATTGTCCGTGATTTGATTCCCTTCCTGTTTTATGTATATATTGTATATATTCTTATTTTTATCATCGTTTGCTCTCCAATTTTATAACATGACAGGAAGCTTCGTATTTGCTTAAGACTTTCTTTACTTAAGCTTCACAGCAGCACTTTTTCACATAGTAACAAGGTAACCAATAAGAAAAAAGGAATAACAAGGTATATAAGTCCCTCCCAGTGATGTCATTTCTCTTTCTTTGCTGCTTTCAGAGTGCCACTGTCTCCTACTTCTGTGGGTTTCTGTGGTTTATTTACTAATTTATCTGTCATATGCTTTATTCATTTCTCTGTATATATATATACATACCCTACTTATCATATACTTTTGAGTCTGCTCTTTTACCTTTTACTTCCTAAATTTAGCTATTTAATATATGTTTTTCCCTCATTTTATTTATTTTTTCTTTGGTATTTCTTTGGTATTTCCTTTTACTTCTCACTATCTTGTCTAATTTTTTCCCTTTTATTGTTTTTACCTTGCTCTAGCCCGATTTTTCTTCGTGCAGCATTTTGCCCCGTTTTCCCGGGCTTTTCGGACCGTGGGGAACGCCTCCACCGGTCCTGAGTGCGCACGGCGGCCATCTTGGATCTCGCGGAGGAGCGCGAGATCCACACGGCCGTCTCTAGTGCGCACGCGCGAGATTGCGGCGGCCATTTTCTTGGAGCCGCGATCCGCATTTCACCCCGGCCGTGCGGCGGCCATTATACCGCTTTAGATAGCGGTTATATGTATTTATCTGTATTTATTTATTTTAAACTTTACTGCCCTCAATTTACCAGTTTAATTATCATCTTCCCATAAGTCTCTCATAATTCTACTCCCATCATTCACATTGAAGGGAACTTTACTTCAAAGCTTAGTGCACCTTTGCCTCAGTCTACCTCCCCCTGGTGGTGGAATTTATACTGCATCCAAACTATCTTGCACATTTTATTTTCCTACAATACCATTTTACTTGGATTTACACCATTATATTACTACATATAAATGGAGTCACTTTTCTCTATATAGTTATTTTGAACAATTCCTCATATATCCTTCACGATTGATACATCTCATATTTACATTGTGCATGTGTAAGGTTAATTACCTAAATTTAATATATGATTGCTGTTACTTTATACAGCCCATGATTGGCCCGCTTTGTCTGTGCCACTATACCTCTATACGGGTATGAAAAAGTATTCCCTGAGGTGATTTATACTGGGTGACCCCCAATTACAGCTTGCAATGTGGAATTATAACATACTGTGATATTTCGTGACGGCCTTACAATACACTCTAACACTGGCCTATTCTGCCCCATAGGTGCCAACACTGTTGCTATGGAGGCTTCAAATCAAGATCAAAACTTGCAAGCAATTATTAATGCAGCTGTGGCTGCTTCACTAGAAAAGGCCCTGGCTCGGGTGCTGCCCGTTGAATCAAAAGAGCCTAAAAGTTCAGGAACCCCGCATTCTGATGAAGATGCGGAGGATTCAGACTCCTCAAAAAGGAACCCTTCCAAACCCAGTAAACGTTATTGGAAAGGGAATGGGCCTGAACCACTCAAACGCAAGGGGAAAGAACCGGCGAAACGCCCTAAACAGGCGGATGTTAGAGAGAAACACTCCATCCAGCCTACTCTGTCGGAAGAGGAAGAAGACTCTTTCGACTTACACCCCTTAGCCATCCTAGATGAATGGCAAGCTGACCACTCCTCAGAAGATGAGGAAGACTGCCCTGAGACATTTTTTAAGGGAGCACCTCACCCTCAATCTATCCTGGGAGAACTCCCAACCGAAGATACGATACCCGGATCGAATCCATCTGGAGACACTGAATTTTTTCTGGATACACTTGGCCAGCCTCTTTTTGACCCGAGGCAAATTAGATATCCCCGATCATCTGAATGGTCACTACCAGACCATCTTTCCCAGTATATTCATTTCTGGATCAGAAGGCCCCTAGACCGGGAGATTCGGAAAAGACTACGAGCGGAATGCCCTAGACCCACTCTACCGGATAAGGTCGCGGTGACCCCGGAGTTTGATACGCTACTCTATACATATCTGGCCAGATCGGGCCGTGACCCAAGGAAGGGCATTGAGCGCAGCCTACGCCTCACCCAAGATAAAATGCTAGATATCTTAGGACCTCTAGCTAAAATTCTTCTACTGGCTGATGAAGCCTTATCTAATGAAGGCCCTCTAGACCCATCTGTGATTAGAGAATGGGCGCTACGCTCTATTTGCCTGCTGGGCAATGCAAATACATCCCTCTGTACTGAGCGTAGAAAAGCAGTGCTGCTGCGTATGGATTCCAAGTTAGCGGACTTGGGATCCAAAGAATTGGGCCCCAAAGCAAAGGGCCTATTGTTTGGAGAACCCTATATTAAAGAATTGCATAAGCATGTAAACCTATACGCCACACTAAACAAGGCGCAATCATCCATGAAAAGGGTATTTCATCATCAACCCTCACGGGTTTTTGGCAGGGCTGGCCGTACAAGGGGTCGTACAGTCAGCCGTTTCTGGACCACAAACCAACGCCAGAGAACCCCAACCTCATCGTTCTTCCCCAATATCACTCAAGGGGCTCTTTCACCCAAAGGGCGGATAAGGGAAGAGGATACAGATCCCGAGGACGCAACAGATATCCAACAGGTGAGATTTCCTACCTTTCACCTTTCTACTGTTTATCATGCGGGCAGGTTGTCACACTGTGTAAACATGTGGAAGACACTGTCTTCAGATGCCTGGGTCCTAAACACAGTTCAGGGTTATTCCATAGAATTTCACTCTCTCCCTTCTCAAACAGATTACCCTTACTATCCACAAATGTCAAAGTCTCAGAATCTCCTTCTAGATTCAGAACTACGCTCTCTTTTGACAAAAGGAGCGATTCAACTCGCTCCTCTAGACAAAGGTTTCCTCAGCTCCATCTTCTTAGTCAAGAAGAAATCAGGGGGCTTTCGCCCAGTAATCAACCTCCGTCAACTAAACTCTTTCGTTATTTACAGACATTTCAAGATGGAAGGGATTCATCTCCTCAGAGACATTCTCCGACCAGGCGATTGGTTCACTCGCCTCGACCTAAAGGACGCTTACCTCTCGGTTCCAGTCCACCCATCCAGTCAACGTTTTCTCCGCTTTCTTTGGCACCACCGGATTTATCAATTCACCTGCCTTCCATTCGGTCTGAGTTCCGCCCCGTGGTGCTTCACCAAACTGCTCAAACCAGTCACCGCACATCTTCGAGAAAACGGCATCCGCTGTTTGATTTACCTCGACGACCTCTTGCTTCTCTGCGAAGACGCATCCAGACTGCGTTCACAGACGAACTATGCATCTACATTGATCGAATCTTTGGGGTTCGTCATAAACCAAGAGAAATCGAGAGTTATTCAATTTCTCGGCTTCGAGATCGATTCTTCAACCTGTGTTCTTCGTCTACCTCAATCCAAGTTAACTGCGATCAGGAAGGAACTACGCAAAACACTTCGTCAAGAGGATTTACCTCTCCGAGGGTTAGCTCGAATCGTAGGCCTACTTTCTGCTTCTATTCAAGCAATCTACCCAGGCCCCCTTCACTACCGGGCCATGCAACGCTTGAAAGCCCAATTCCTTCGGACTCATCCTTCATACGACCAGAGGGTCCCGATCACTACGGAGGTGAGGGAGGAACTCCTTTGGTGGCTCCGCCACATGTCGGCCTGGAACGGCAAGGCAATTTTCGGTCCTACCCCGGACTATGTAGTGGAGTCAGATGCGAGTCTCCAGGGTTGGGGTGCAACCTGTCTTACAACCTCCACCGGAGGACCATGGACCACCTCAGAACACCTTCTCCACATCAATTGTCTGGAGTTAATCGCAGGCTCGTTCGCAATTCGCAGTTTAACCAACCATCTCTCGAACTGCTGTATTCTCCTTCGGATGGACAATATCTCAGCTGTCCACTACATCAACAAGTTGGGCGGGGCCAGATCCCGCATCCTCTCCGAAGTGACAAAAGACATCTACGAGTTTTGCTTCCAACGCAACATCTCACTTCGAGCAGAATATCTCCCAGGGGAATCGAACATCACTGCAGATTGGTTCTCCCGACATTGGAGAGACGGCAGCGACTGGCGCCTACACAGAACAATCTTCCTCCACATCTCCAAACTCAGGGGCCCGTTTACCCTAGACCTGTTCGCCTCCCGGACGAACTTTCAAGTCCCACGGTTTTTCAGCTGGCTTCCAGACCCAGAATGTTTAGCGGTAGATGCCTTCCTTCAGAGTTGGCCGACAACAGGAGCCTATGCCTTTCCTCCATTTGCAATGATCCCCAGAGTCCTCCTTCAGATTCGCAGACAACAGATCACTCTGGTACTACTCACCCCACTATGGCGGGGCCAAGCTTGGTTTCCGGATCTTCTGGACCTTTCCTGCCAAGAGCCCCTCCTTCTGCCTCCATGGCCCAATCTCCTGGAGGACCCTCAAGGGAACCTTCATCCTATGGTGACACAAGGCCACCTCCAACTTGTAGCCTGGACTCTTTCAGGGGAACCTGGCACTTCGGAGGACTATCGCAGAGATCTAAGGAACTCCTCTGGGATTCGTGGGCTCCTGGAACTAGAAGATGCTATCTTTCCTCCTGGAACGCTTGGTGCAATTGGTGCCTGGAATGGAATACCGATCCCCTTACGGCCCCTAGACAGTTCATTTTAAATTTCCTCTCTCATCTATTCGATCTAGGCCGTTCCTACAGATCCATCAACGTTTTCCGTTCAGCCATCTCGGCAGCCCATGTTCCTCTAGACGGAGTTCTGGTGGGCCAGGATCAACTGGTTTGTAGACTATTGCGGGGCATCAAACTGGCTCGCCCCCCTAAACCAAAATACCTTCATCTCTGGGACGTTAATGTCATGATTCGTTTCCTCGAGTCCTGGCCGAGCAACGAAGATCTATCCCTTCGTCAACTCTCAGCAAAATTCACCCTCTTGCTTTGCTTAGTGTCCTTCCGACGAGTGTCGGATGTTCGATCATTTGACCATGACGCTATCAACTTTTCCCCAGAGGGTGTCTCTTTCTCCGTGTCCAGACGGACAAAATCAAACTCTTCTTCTATTTTTTATCCTTACTTTCCTAACCACCCGAAGCTGTGTGTGGTATCTCTTCTATCTCGTTATTTGTTTCTCACCTCCTCTCTTCGTCCAACGTCTTCCAGCCAACTTTTGATCTCATATGTCCGGCCACATAATCCAGTGTCAACCACAACCCTGGCCCGATGGGTTAGGTGGTTGCTCTCCCTAGCCGGGATTGAAGCCTCCTTCGGAGCCCACTCCATCAGAGGAGCAGCGGCATCGGGGGCGTTCAGCGCTGGAGCCTCGCTTCGTGACATTCTTCAATCCGCTGACTGGTCCCGAGAACAGACGTTCCGCGACTTCTACTTTCGTCCGGCTGTGCACGCTTCCTTGGCCCTTTTCGGGGAGCGTTAAAACAGCAAATACGAAGCCTCCTGTCATGTTATAAAATTGTAGATTATGCTAGCTTTAGTGTACCTATAATCTTAATTTTATTAATGACAGGAGGCGAGTATTTCCCACCACTCCTACTTTCGTTTTTTACCCACCCTAGGGTCGCCACTGTAGGTAAGTTTCTAAATCAAGACCGAACACACTACGCCTAACT